GGCGAGTAATGCTGTAATTAGAAAACTCGAGCCCTGAGCCAAGAACACTCAACTCCACTACTATAGAGGCCGCAATAGTTACCACGGGGGACCCTTGTTAGAATAATTGTATACTGGGGCCCAAAACCCTGTTCTAATTGGGCCCTTATTTTATGAGAAGGGCCGAAAGTAACTGGAACCAAAGAGGCTTGAATCGAACCTTCAGCAGTCAGAAGCGTCATCTCCCATATCATTGCGCGCACAGAAGCCCCGTCTCGTGACGCACCACTTCCGGGCCGGGACGGCGTAGTGCATGCCTGGATCCGGAAATGAAGGATTCATGGGGTCCGTGTAGGGTCGGTCCCCCTCAACATGGGTTACCCGAGTACTTACTAAACCCTGCACCTAGAGGCTCTATGGTAGTTCCCTTTGGAGGTTGATAATTAGAATCCTATACAGTAAACGCCCATAAGTTGGAAACCGGATTTAGGACAAGTAGTGCTGGGACTCCCTATGCACTACTCTTAAGGATTGAAGCTATTGGGTTTCCAACTTTTGGGCTTCTACTATGAGGTAATGCCAAAATGGAACCACGGGGGAGCCTATGGGCATGAATCGAAAACCCTCCTCAGCCGCCCTTTTGCAGCCTCTTGAGCTGCAACAACCGCAAACCTGAGAAGCCACGGTTTAGGGTTTGGGGATTGGTAGGGTTTAGGGAGAACCAACCCCTGAACCTGTTCTCGTAGGATCTAGTTCTCTTCGGCAAACATCCCAGCAAAACATGGACCGGATGCCTTTTCCCAAATACGAGCAACTACCGCCAAAGCCCAAAAAAACAGTACGGAGACATGTACCAGACTTCGGGTCTTGCCGCATCCTGTAACAGTCCACAATAGGGCTACTACTAAGGTCCTAATATATTATCCAACGGCTTAAAGGATCACGGGACTTAGTAACTAGGGTTATAATTAAGGTAACTATACTTATAATCCCAATTAAGGTACTTATAACCTTACTAACTACGTCCCATGATCCTCCATTATAGAACCCTTATAGATCCCTTTAAGGATCCCTTGAAGGAGCCCTATAGGTACCCTTAAAGGAACTACTAAGTCCCATGATCCTCCAAGTGGGGGCAGTACCCACACCAGACTTCTTTCAAAGGGGAAAAGGAGGGACCCTTAATGGGGACCCCTACCCTATAATGAGCCATATAATGGTTTTATAATAGCTTTATTAAGGGTATATACCTAGGGGGTCCTTATTAAGGGTCCCTCCTTTTACCCTTGGATTCTTGCTTCGGGTCAGGTGTCGAAGACCTTTCTCGTAGGGCAGCTCATCGAAAAATGTCGGCTTCGCCGAGCATTTCAGGGCTTGGTAGTCGTCCGCCTGCGCAGAGACCGAATTAGCACAAAAGCTCTTAGCATAGCACGGAGTCTTTGAACTTTACCAAGCCGAGACCCTGAATAAAAATCTGAGCCGTCGTCCTGAGCGCAACTACGACCCAAACTTCGAACGCCCGCAGGGCTGCGGATTCCTGGAGTGCTCGGAAGACGTGACATTAAGGCATTTTCGGCCTGCGGCCTTTCACCATCGAGTTGACGCTTGGGGTGTGAGCCCGGGTTTCACGGCTCTCGTACAACACCGGCACTTGCGACAAGCTAGCAAGGCTCTATATCATCCGCAGTTATTCGTGTAACGGCAGTGCCTTATAAACTACACTTTGTCGAAATTCGTACAAGCCGCGGAAATCGTGAGTTTTAAACGCCTACTTCTGGAGTTTGAGATTCCTGCACACCCCTTTCGACGACAGAAGTCTCAACCGAATCTTATACGCCTTAAACCCTGCCACCCTGCAGACAAAGGCCAAAACCTACAGCCACCAACTTTAGGACTTGGACACTCTGGACTTTGAAGTAACCAGGGAGAAAAAGTATAGACTTTTTCTTCATGATTGGTTCCCTTTAAGTAACAGGTCCCAAAAAAGTATTAAAGTATGGTACTCCAAAGCCCAGACACACAGCTGGCTTCAAGTCGAAAGCTGAAAGACCATTGCTTAGGGTTTGGGGTGTAAGTGTCACTGACCCTAGCGACAAAACAATAGGAAGCCCAACCCTCAACCCAAAGTCTAAAACCGGGGTCCACGCAATATAGCAACCTGGAAATAGTACCCCCTTCTTTTTTTGTATCTTATCGTCTCCCCTGATAGTAGTGCAGTAGCTCACAATAGGCTTGGTAGCTCTGGAGAAAACTCGTACACGCCTCCACGACCTCGCTTATCAGGACCGGTGGTGGCGCCGCGAGGGCTTCGATCTTCTGGGTCTCCGGTGCGTCGTACAGCCAACTGTACCTGGGTCTTGGCTTTAGGGTTTCGGGTTTGGGGCCCAGGAACTCGGGTTCGGGGCGTGTTAAGGATGTTTTTCCTTTCAAAGGGCCGGGTCAAAGCAGTGTCCGAACGAAATTTCAGAGCATGTTCTCCTAAACTCTGTCGTTCTGTGGGGAGGGAAACAAAACCACACCATGGACGTCTGAATAACAACCATATAATAAGACTTTGCGCAGCCTTTCCAGCCGTAGTCATTAGTTCAAGATCATTCTTATACAAGAGCCTCAAGGATTTCGACTCATTGGCATGCAACGGTCTTCAGAGGTCCTTGGACGGAAGTCAACCGAATGAGAGAGGGATTGTGGATACCCATGGAACTTGCTTTTGGATCCCCGCGGTGCAAGGGAATGCACATTTGCTTTCTTTTAAGCGCCTATCTTGGAGGACTGAGAAGACGTACTTTCTTTCTATCTGAACAAAAAAGTTCAACCACACAGCACCAAGCAACTATATTGCCCCGCATTGACTGCAGTTCCGGGGTCTTATTCCAAGAATCTGCTAGCCATGAATACTTAACCGATCCCTTGGTCTTACAGGGCAAGGTGCAACTTCTCACTATTGATGGTGCCATCCGGCTCCTGCACGCATTTGCAGGCCTCGCTGAGGCAGGGGTGAGGCGTTGAGATGTTCGGGTGTGGGCAGGTTGGGTCGCAAGGCATTGTCTATGCAGCGGCCGACCTGGCGATTGAGGATAGGAGTTTCACGAGCGAGAGCCAGGTTCAACACCGTTGCTGGAGATTGAAGGAAAACTCGCCTGTTGTCGTGGAAGCGCGGCTGCCAGCACGATTTAAGCCCTGAACACTTGTTTGGAATATCAAGCTGAAAAACATTATGTCTTAGCGACAAGTCGGCTGCACCATTTTGGGAACTATTTTTCAGAAGCAACAAGCCAAGGCCAATGACACTGCTACTTCACACTCCGGCAGAGCTGTTGGAACGGCCGGAACAGGCCCAAACCCCCCGACCTCAAACCGCAAACTGCAATCATGAAAAACCCAAAAGCCCTGGCTCAACCCTGTAGCCCTAAACCCTGAACCCTACAGGGAACTCCAGAAAGTTGGAATATGGTTTCATGGTAGGATACACTATAACTTACCATAGAAGGGTTAGGATAATCATATTCCAACTTTCTGGCTTTTACCCTAAAGCCCCGGCGGTCCACGGGCCTGAATGGCCCGTGGCTCCACGTCCAGTCGGTGTAAGAACTCCTCGAGCACTCCTGGGATGATGGAGCTCAGTCATTCAAAAGAAGACACGAGCCGGGGTTTAGGGTTTAGGGTTTAGGGCCGAAGGTCTGATCCAAGAGTTGCAAAACTTCGTACCTGGCAGTATTCTCTATGATGCGAGCGTTCCTGGGGCGAGAACTCTAGCTCGAAAGCCTTGTGACATCTCGGGTCTGTGAAGGTTTGCCCTAAACCCTAAACCCTAAACCCTAAACCCGCAGAAGTGTTTCATGTGTCCAGGCCTGGAGTCAGAGTACAAGCTCGGATTGAACTGCAAGCTGCAGCCTCTCCATCCAGTTGATTTGTCTAGAGGAGAAATATTTGGGTGGTTGACAAAATTAGGGTCCCTTTTTGGGTACCCTAAATCATAGGTGCCGTTTTATGGTAGGGACCCAACAATGGACCCGAATTTTGACAACCACCCATATACGACTCACAAGACCAGGAAAAGACTGCTCCAAGGAGGCGCTTCTGTGCTTTGTATCTCGCGCTGGGGTTGAGGCGTGTAAACTTGCGGTGTGGGATACGGGGCACTGCTACTTAAAGGGTCATGGGACCTAGTAACTAGGGTCATAACTAGGGTATCTGTACGTATAACCCCAATTAAGGTGCTTATAACCTTACCTACTAAGTCCCATGATCCTCTAAGTAGGAGGCTTCCAGGATATCTTGCTGCGTCCTGTCTGTGCTCCCTGGAACCCCTCGCCTATGCTCAAAAACTTAAATCCAAAAAGCCCTTGTAAACCCCACCCTGATCACAGACGCCACCTATAGTCTCCATTGTAGTTCCTGTTTTTTGCTAACCTATTTATGGTTATACCGTTCTGTAATATAGGAACTACAATGGAGACTATAGGTAGGTAGTTGTCAAAATTAGGGTCCCTTTTTGGGTACCTTAAATAATAGGTGCCGTACTATAGTAGGGATCCAAAAGGGGACCCTAATTTTGACAACCACCCAGGTAGACTTTGCCTTCCTCCTGCCTGCCACCTTCCGCTCGTTTTCAGGAGTGGAGCGGTTATTTCAATGGTCTAATGATGTAGGGGCCTGGATAATTAGAATAAAGATTTTTGGGGGCATCTTATACTATGCTAATAACCAGGAACCCCCCCACAATAGTATAGGCAATTCTTCAGGCTCCCTATTAGGGTTTAGGGTACAGGAATGGAGCGGTTGTTGTCATAATAACGATGAGGAGGACGAGGAGGGGAGAGCAACGCCACTACTTCCAGAAGGAACCAGCGATGACCACTACCACGTGATGAAAGGTGCTTGGGAAGACATCTCGGGATTCAAAGCAGCAGGTGAAGAGCATTCAAGACCGAAGAACCCACTTGAAAGCTGAAGGCACGGAATTTTCCTTCAAGGCACGGTGGGAAACATGTTTCGCAGGTCAAGCTTGTCGTGCTTCATCACATGCCCGGCGCAAGGGACCCATTCCATGAACTATCGAGCAAACTCTGCAGTTTGCGAATGTACTCAATCAGCTGCTGGTTCTTGCGGCGGGCATTGAGTAGACGGTCCATTGACTTGAGGCGTGCAACCTCGTGCAACTTGTCCTCCGCATCTTTCAGCCTCCTGCGTCGCTTCAGGGAAGCTGCCTGTTTCTGTGCAACATTGATCCTTCTTGCTCTCTCTCGACCTGCAGCATCCCGACTCATTCCAAACTGCCGGTTTCCATTCAGGCATGCCAGCCGAGCGTTTACTTGCGCTGCATTCTGCTTTGTCAGGCCCATTGCAATTTCTGCCTGCTTTGCTTTACACACCAACCCAGTGGCCAACATGTGTTGCAACATCCGCTTGCAATGTGACAGACCGCTGATTCTCATCTCATATTTGGACGCGCGTGGTTTTCCAAGGGTTGCATCAATGCCTAGGCTTCGGGACAGAAAACTGCGAAGACAGTTCAGGACTTGGGGGTGCTTTTGGACGATTCTCAGGCGCAAGCAGGCTACTGCACCCGGCTGCTCGATATGCCCCTCAGCATCAAAAAAACCTGCGCAGTAGTCCCAGCTACAACGCCCGGCTGTTGCTGAATCGTACTTCTTCAGAGCGCGCAGCTCGTCCCTAGACTGCTCTCTGGCAGACTTCGTCTCGGGCCACTGGACTGCCATCAACAACTGTTTCTGCTTGGCGATGCTGTGCGGTGCCAAGAGCTGAGCTGCGCGTCTGGCCGAGCCGCCGCATACCCGCCACTGAAGCTCTGGTTTTGTCAAACCCACGCCACGGTGCCTGCGCGTGATGCTCCCACCGAGTGTCTCTCGCAAGATCATCAGAACTTCCGCTTGGTCCCAAGACTGGCAAACCGTCAACATGGCTCCGGTCAGATTTGTCGCATAAGAAACGCAGCCATTCCCGTCGAAAAAACCGGCCAAGCAAGCAAGCCTGGCTTTCGCAGGACTATCTGACGGCTGTCTGCTGCCGGCTCGCAAAGGCAGGCTGTAGGTACGTCCGTTTGCCGAAAAACGCTCCAACTTCGGCCATGGAGTCTTCTTCAACAACTTTCCGATGTCCTTGTTCTTCTTTTGGATTTCCTGCAATGTGTTGCTCGGATGTGCAGATAGGGTGAGGTACTTTGGCAAGTCTGGGCTTCTTCGTTGGACATGCTGCAACGTATCACCAGGGTTTGCAGATAGGGTGCCGCGCATCCCAGCCGCAGCACATGCAAGACCTGCTCGGCTAATGCCGACACAGCATTCCAGTATCAGACCCATAACTAGGCCCTTCCACCAGCCAGTCAGCTTTCCGCTCTTCCTTCTCGCATATGCCATTTCTAGCATCACTCGATGATTTTACCGTGTCTCGAGCAGCAGTCGGGGCAGCTTGAGCCCAAGTCCACCAGACCGCCGTGTCCTGGTTCAAGTCTCGCTTTCTTAGAGTTCGACTCCAGGCATGCACTTAAAGTGTGCAGTTTGTTAAGGCATCGTGAGGGTGCACGATAGAAATCTGAAGCCTCTATCACGTTAAGGAGTTTAGCGGTTCGGCCTTCTGGATGGTGCGAGTTTCATACAGTTCATGTACAAAGAAAGAAGTGCCGGCTACTTTCCCAAAGCCAAGGCATGCTATGCGGCAAAGTTCACATCCTGCACAGAAACGGTGACAAGGACCAGCCGAAAGCTGAACCGCCTGAAGCCCTCTGACACATCGAGCCAGGCTTTCAATTACGGCTTCCGAAAGTCCTTGAACCCTCAACCCTAAACCTTAAACCGTGGGTTTGGGGTTTAGGGCTTTTAACCCCAGAGCCACAGTCCGTGCATGCAGTCCAGGCACGCCACGGCACGATGCCATTCCCCTTCCTAGGCTGTTTGGCGATGCAGAACTTGGAACTACATCTTATTAAGAAGGCCTCTCCCTGTCAGGCAAGCAGCAATACTCAGAAGAACAATTGAAGAACTTCATCGTCTCGTCGGCGGCAGAGATGGAGCCAACCGTAAGCCCGAAAGCCTACAACAAGAGAGCCATTACACGACACTCGAAATCCTACTTCGCAAACCGTTACTTGCCCTGACGAGCGATGTTGCTATGGCCTGTGCATAGCAAGTCCTGTATTTCTGCGAGAGCCCCCTCCACATCCGTGTTGGTAATGCTACGAGGAGGAGGACAACGACGACGACAGCGACGACTTCTTTGTCTGGTCTGATCTGGCTTGGTAAGGGCATGAGCTGCTGCGAGTGCGCTTTGTATTCCTTTCTGTCAGGTTTAGGGTTTACGGTTTACGGTTTTGGGTCTGATGTCATAGCACTTCCAGTTGTACGACAAGAGGAACGGCAGTGCAAGAGGATTTCAGCCTGCTGCTGTCTAGGACTACCGCGCAACTACGAAGTGCTCCCTGGTGTGTATTGGTATGGTCTGGTCATTCCAAAAAGATGAAGGACCCGACTTGGTCGAAGACGGGCAGGTTATCTGAAGCCGGTTGAGGACTTAGTTAGTTCATTGTCGGGTAGGAATAAAAATGTACATGTTTATTCTTATTGGGTTTAAGTACCCATAAAATTGCAAAATGTTACCCAACTATGACAAAGTTAGTTAGCACGTAATCTTGCCACAAAGCTCTCAAGTGCAAGATCCCACCATCATAAAGACACTCAAACAAGCTTCCGGCATCGCGAGAACTCCTCCAGACTCCTAGTACGAAAGAACACCCTAAACCCCTCAAGCCCTAAACCCCTCAAGCCCATAAACCCGTAAAGCCCTAAACTCTGAACCCCTAAACCCTATAAACCCCTAAACCCCTAAGCCCTACAAACCCCTAAGCCCTAAAAACCCTAAACCCTATAAACCCCTAAACCCTCTAAACCCCTAAAAACCCTAAACTCCTAAACGAGCGGCGGGGAGAGCTGGCTGAAGGCATCAGCGACTTTGGCCGCAGCCATGGCCCAGGGCTTCGGTTTCTTAAGGCACCGAGGACTCGTCCTCTCAAGTTGACAATTGGGTGGTTGTCAAAATTATGGTCCCTTCTTGGGTACCCTAAATAATAGGTGCCGTATTGTAGTAGGGACCCGAAAAGGGACCCTAATTTTGACAACCACCCACTTGCTTCTCTATGAACCCTACTATGCTATACGATCTTCTGTAAGCCTCATTTCGTACGAGGTAGAGTTTCAGGCCCCGATACAAGGCTTCCGGGCTTAGGCTATCGGTGTTTCGGGTTTTGGGATTCCGGAGCCTTGAGCTTTAGGACTTTGGGGTCCGTAAACGGTCTGATGGGGGCTCAGGTGCATGGGGGTTAGGGGTTGCTTAGGAAGGACCAGTGCTAGTCTTGTGGATGGTTATTGCCGCAGTTGTGCAATGGTGCTGCAAAATTGTAACACTGAACAGAAACCCGATCCTGCGGCGGCGGAATGCACGAGTTCTTGCCATAAGTCGGCGGTCAAAAACGACAGGGAGCCCAAAGCCTCGCCGCCGGAACCTCCTGCATAAACTTTGTTAAACCTTTGCATGACACCCTGCATCCTTCACCCCCAATGCCCAAAACCTTTCGTACTCAGCGAGCTGAGCTGGGATGAGGGTTTGCTCTTCAGGTAGTCTGGATGTAGGCGAGCAGCCAGTGCCGATTGAATTAAGAGACCGTAATGTACTCTCCCGTTCAGGTGCACATCCCTTCCAAACTGCTTCATAAAACCAAGCTAACGCAGCTCCATATGGCAAGAACTTGCTCTTGGAACCAGTGGGTGAGGTTGGGGTACTGAGCTCATTCATTAAGGCACCTTCCGGGAACATTCCTGCAGCTTTCTACTGCATTCCTGCAGAGACATGGTTGCAGAAAGTAACCGTCAGCTCTGGCAAGTTCAAGAACTGAACACTTCAATCCCAAGACCCGGCAAGCCTCACACCAAGTTGACAAGATCTCGAGTCCGAAGTTATTGGTCCAAACGCAGCGTTGAACATATCCACCGGCATGCTCAGGAATCGCTAGGTGGTTGTATAAGTCGTTGGCGTGCCCCACCCCCCCTGAAACCCTGCAGCCCTCGCATGCCGAAGTCTTTACGGCAACTCCCAGTTTAAGTTAACAGTTCCGACAGGGCCCGGGGCCCTAGACCCTTAATCCTAAGACGTAAACTCCAAAACCTCAATGAAGCGGCTAAACCCTTGAACACTATACCCAAAGGTCCCAAAGTAGTTCCATTTTGGGATCACCTTACAGGATTCTAAGTATGAACCACAAAAAGGAACTGCTATGGGGCCTTAGGGTAGCTACTCGTCTCGTCCCAAAACTTTTTAAGAGGCCCAGGCCGGTGGTGGCAAGAGGTCCACGAGCAATTTCTGCTAAGACCTTCCGACATTGGAGCTCCCTACTTGGGGGATCATGGGACAGTAAGGTTATAAGTACCTTAATTGCGGTTATAAGTATAGTTACCCTAATTATAACCCTAGCTACTAAGTCCCATGACCCTTTAAGTAGGGAGTTTCCGACAATAGGGCACTATGAGGGCTCCTTTAAAGGGTTACTATAAGGCTACTATTAGGGTTCCTTTAAAGGGCCTTATAAGGGTTTGGGAGTTTCGGCAAATAGGGGGCAACAGAAGGTAACCCTAATTTTCGGGAGCTCGCACTTAGAGGTGCATGGGTAGTTATATTGTGGGGTTGTAGGGTTCCTTTCAGGGTTCTATAGGGTTTAGGGATCGGGGTTTAGGGTAGCTTTGAGTGGGGCTATACGTCCCCAAGTATGGGGTAAGATAATGGTTACCCTACTTACATAACTACCCATAACGCTCCAACCAGGCGGGCCGGAGAAAGCACGTGCTTTTGGGGGTCGTTAAGTCGGGTTTAGGGCTAAGGGTTGAGGAGTTTGGGGTCTGAAGATTGGGGTTTCCGGGGCTTCTAGCACCCAAAGGCTCCATGTAGCTTTATAGTAGATACTTAAGCCCCAAAGTAGTCCCTATATAGGTACTTTAAGGCCTAGGTATATACTATATGGGTACATGGAGCTTTTGGGGCAGGAGTTTGAGTAGGACTGCCAAGTGGCTCAGTGTGGGACTGGGCATTTCGGGCTCAAGATCTTGTGTTCGGAGTGGCTCTTTCAGGGTCGCCAAAATTTCCTGCGTGGAGGTAGGGGTCACCTACGGCGGAAGGAGCTTCTCAAACATCGTGCCCAAACCAGTCAGACCCCGTCTTTTTAAAGGCCCTCAGGCCGTGAATCAGACCCCGATTCTCGTCGAACTAAGGGAAAAGTTTCACCAACTACTCCAGGGTCTACCCTAAGCCTGAAACCTCAAACCAGAATGGCTCCAGTTACTGAAATACTATTTAAAGGATCATGGGACTTAGTAACTAGGGTTATAACTAAGGTAACTAATACTTATAACCCCCAATAAAGGTATATTATAACTTATAACCTTACTTACTAAGTCCCATGATCCTCCAAGTAGGTTGCTAACCATAAAGGGATTCTAACATATGCCAGCAGCCCATTATTTTGGTAATCGGAGGTCTGCATGGGGAAACCCTACCAAGAGGCGGCTACATTGCGGCATACATCTTCTAATGGTTAAGGCTCCGAAACTAAATCCTTATAGTAGCCCTTATAGCAATCCTACAGACCCCTTTAAAGAGGAACCCTTAAACGGAACCCTCTTCGAATTATTAAGGCTCCTGCATTACAACGGCAAAAGCGCTGGCCTGGCGCTTCTCATCTCTGAGCTCGCTCAAGGCCTCCGCCTGCTGCCTGGTGCTACGGTTTAGGCATTAAGGGTAATAAGCATCAGGGTTCAGGGTTTCAACTTTAATTAAAGTTTAGAGTTTAGGGTTTAGGGTACTATAGGGGGCCTTAATAATTAGAACAGGGTTTTGGGCTCCTTTATGGTACTTTCTATACTTATAGGTGCTAAAAACGAATTTAGGCAGCTTTTCTTGGGCTTCTACATTAGGGCTCATGCAGGTTTCACGAGTTCACCAGAAGGTCTGTCTGCAAGGTTGCGAATCAAGCTGTAGAAGGGGCCCGCGTCAGGAATACAACCCACCGAACATGTAGTCATGTGATTTTTTCTGTTTACAGCAGGTTGCTGAAACCTTTAGCCTACAGCTCCTGCAAGGCCATGAATCACACAGTTCCAACTCTTCAGTTTACACACGAGCTCTGCGCAGCGTGGTTGATTCGACCACTGAAGCGGATGTTGCCGAAATCTAGCACTTGAGCTCGGGCAAACGATGCCCAGAATAGACAGACATGTAGAAGGACCGGAGGTCTCACAAAGAGAGGCACACACTCAAACACACAGATGATAAGCATGCGAACGGTCCCAACACTATCATTGTCTTGTCCTTCGGTTCAGGGTTTAGG